TTAAATATCAAGTGCTACATTAATTGCTTAATTTCATTCATTCAAAATTATAAGTAAAACACGATTTGCAGGTTATCATGACTGAATTCCTAACTGATTTGAATACCAAAGAACAGAAAAGTTTACGGAACTTATTTAAACGTTTACAAAAAATTTATCAAAAAAAAAAAGTGGTAAAGCTTTTTCCGAGAATTACCAGTGGTCAGTGCGCAATGTCAATGATAAGTGTATAGTTATACTATCGATTTATTTTCGATTTTAAATGTTACGCTAAATTTTTAAAAAATTTTGATAAAACTTTCTTTTTTTAGAGAAATAAACTAAATTGTCCATTCATAAAGACTGAAAGAAGTACAGTTTTTTGCTCCTCGATAAATTTTAGTATTTTGAATTATTCATTACACCTTAAATTAAAATTGAAACAGATAATTGGATCATATTTATTCTTCATATTGGATAGTATCAGACAGTCTCAATGAAATTAATGAACTTGGGAACTTCAACTTTCCGCAGAATTTCATAAATTTTATTTAAATTTTTTAAATAATTCTTTCATTAAGTTTATTTATTAGCTATTCTTTAAGGCATGATTAACATTCTCAACAATTCTACTTTCCTGTAATTTTTATTTTTCTAGTTGATGCTAACTGAGTAGACACAAAAAAAGCTAATGAGGAAATTTAATCAAATGACGTAAAAGTACATTTTTACATTGATTGATTGATTAACTGGTTCAAAAAAAAATTAGTTGCAAAAGAAAAATAAGAATAAAATAATTGCCATAATTAACTGATAAGAAACCGTAAAACATAAAGATAGAAAGGTGCGCGCAAAAAAAAACAAAGCATAGTCTATTCAAAAAACTCACACATGAAGTGAAACGTATCAAACGTGATTCCATCAGAGAGATTTTAGAATTGAAATCCAATTTGATACTTTCAGATACAAATATTTGTATTGTTAAAAAATCGACTTCATGGGACTTTTTACATTACATATAATCATCAATCATCAATTGTGGGGAAACAATAATTATATTTTTTTTAAGCTATTTAATAAGAATAAATTAATTTGAAAAAGAATAGTTTAGATAAAATTTAGGATCGCTTATTTTTCAAAAAGGCCAAAGCTATATCACTTACAAACATGTTTAATATATATTATTTTGGACCAAAAATAAGTAACGAAGAAATAAAAGTTTCATTACTAAAATATCCCTCATAAAAATTTTTCACAAAAAATGGAGTTATGGAAGGAAAACAATTTAAAATTAATTTTGCGCAGGAAACAAAACTATGAAAATAAAGCAATTTAAAATTAATTTTGCGCAAAAAATCAAATTATGAAAATAAGATATTTAGAATCAATTTCAAGCAGGAAGTAAAACTGTGAAAATTAAACAATTTAAAATTAATTTTGAGCAGGAAATGAAATTATGTGGAAAACAAAACAATATAAAATTAATATGCTAAAAACGTAAAAAAATTTTGCAGTAAGGAAAATAGGCATGAAAATGTGAAAAAGATGCGTAATACGTTTTTTGCATCCAAAAAGAGCGCAAATTTAGGCATAGATTAATTTTCATTCAATTATGATTTTCAAATGCATTTTTGCCGTTAATAACTTAATGAAAATGATATACACTTGTAACTGATACCATTCAAATTTTATCTCTTTTCACAATTTTTTTATCTTTTTCGTTTTCTCTCGAAATGTATGTCAAAATTTTTTCTGTTCAATTTCATCCTAATTTACTTTCTAAAAAGTAGTGAGAAGCAATTTTTAATTAAAATATTCGAAAAAATATTGCATCGAGCAATTTTTCATTTAAAAATTTTATTATTAACGATGAAAATATTAGTTTGTGAAATACAGAAATGAGATTTCTGAATGAAAATAAGCAAATGATATATTCGAATTGCTAATAACAATAAGATGAATTAATCAAAATGAGTATATCATTCATTTTTTTTAGGAAAAGAAGACGAAAAAAATAATAATATGTGAAAATTTCAAGGAAATTTTGGTAATATGACGAATATGTCGAACATCTCTGATAATTAACAAACGTATGAATTTAACTTTATAACATTTTTTTACAGCCATTTTAAAATTTTAACTTGAAGATAGCGGAGACAAAGAACCGAATATTTCAATTTACAGATAAAATTTTCATTTTCATTACTCCCAACATCGAGCAATTTTATGTATTTCATTATCGTAATTATATTTTTTCTAATAAACAGAAATTAAACAAAAAATAATTGAATTTGTGTGCAAATATTTAATTGGATAAAGGTATTTATATTGAAAAAGTTAAAATCTTCTCTGAAAAAAACAATGTGAAAAGAAATAATTCCAAAATTCCAACATCTTTTTCATCATTCGCATTTTTCTTGAACAGCTAAGAATTTAAACTGTATAATAATAAATTTCAAACCATCACACATAATTCTTCAACTTCAAACTATCTGCTTATTTTGTGCAAAGAAAAAATGGCAACAATTTCAATCTTCAAAAATAAAAAATAATATCGAAAAGAATGCAATATCATTTGTGACGTTTATTTTACATATTTCATGCAGTGTAGAATATCACACCTCTTTCTCTCTGTCCCTCTCTCTTCCCCTCTCTCTCCCTCTCTCTCTCTCTCTCTACTCCTACTATTATGGTAAAATGATAAGAATGCACTTTTGCACAATAACTTTTCATTTATTCCTCAAACTTCATTATTTCCAATTATTATAAACTACTGTTATTTGCTCTTTGAAACTATAAATATTTTGGATAAACTTTGATAATATATTTATGCAGATAAAAATAACAAAAAAATTCCATAAAAAAACAGAAATTTACTTTAATTTGAATTTGAAAAAAGAAGACAGTATACAGAATAAATTAATGACATAATTTTTACTTTTTTTAAATTGGAATTTAAAAAAATGAAGAGAAAATCTGTTAATGGATTCTGTTGTAATGGTTGGAAAGGAAATGATTTGTAAAATTTCAGTGAAACAATGGGTGGAAAATAAACAGTGCAAACTTTCTTGCCTTCTGAAAAATTAAACAATGGTTGGAAGGATTGTGGAATGATTGATACAATTTTTCACTTTCGTCTTTTTAAAATGAATTACATGGAAGAAATTTAACAGTAAATATTACATTTAAAAAATTATAACTCAGGATTTTAAAATAATCTTTAAAAATTACATTATGCTTAATGTGAAGATTACATGCATGCATTGCATGCATTACATTATACTTGATGTGAAGATTGCATGCAATTTGTATATTTTTGACTGGTATATAGCAGTAATTCTCATTTGCACGCAACATGCATATGCATTTAACAATGCATGCAACATGTTATCCTTCTTTTCCTTCTTCAAATTTTGCAGAATTACAGCATAGTCATGTGTGTACGAAAAACTGATGACGAATTTAAGTGGTATCTTTAAAATTTCCAAAATATTCGCTAATCGATTGGAAAAAGTATAAATTTTCGAGATTGTTTTACGATTACTCTCTTCACGGCAAATTTAATCAAATTATCTAGCCTCCGAATATTTATCTATCCTCCCGAAATGTACCACTATCAGAATGAAAAGCATTGACATAATTACATATTGATTTGCTTATGTGAAATTAGTGAGCAAGTAGAAAAGAAAATACTGGACAACTGTATTGGGGGTTACTGTAATGATAGAAATTACTGCATTACTGTAGTGCTAGCTTTATACCATTCTAAATGATTGAATAGATTTATTATTTTCAATATTGTTTTAAACGTTGGTATGTTTGCAATATTTTCATGGAAATTTTCATAGTACTATAATATAAAACGTAATTTTACACGTCCATCGTATGATGGATATTAATATTGATTCGTTAAGTAAAAGTAAAGCTTAATTTGTATGAACAGAAAATGAGTGAAATATGCATTTTCGATAAAAATATACTTTAGCTACTTTTAGTTTAGTATATTGTAACAAAAGAAAAGACCAACAAATTCAATTTAATTAGTTAGTGATTATTTTCTTTTATCGATTTTTCGCCTAAATATTAAAATGGGTTTAAAAAACAATTTTTAATAATTTGCTTCTCAGCAATTTTATTAAACTGTACGAGTTTCTTTTTATTGCATAAATAAAATTTAAAAATGAATTATTTTTCAATTTTAACCAAACAGCAAAATAATTTTTTCCCCTTTTTTTTCTTTTTCTAAGATTAAAATAAGCATAGACCGAATGGAAAAGAGTGCAAGAGAATTATCAGATTATGTTCGACCAATCATGCAAGCTTTGATTGAAATTTTAAATAGAAAATGAAATAATGAACTATGTTATGTGCAGCAAATAGAGCATAAATTTTAAAGCACTTGGTGGTATATGTGAAAAAAATACTCAAAAAAAAAAATGTTTTTAATTGTGCAAATTAAAAAGTTTCTCAATACGGATTGGGAGAAAAAAATTGCTATAGTAAAATCAATAATTAAATGAAGTTTGAATTTCAACTGATTTCATGATGCAATGATGTAGCAGGAAGGGACGAAGAAAGGAAATTTAAGGACATTTGCACATCCTCTAATTACTACAGCTAGTAGGGATGATCGAAAATCAAATATTCTTTTACAAGATTTACTGAATTATTCATTTGTAAAATTTAAAATGGAAAGACAAAAAAAAAAACGAAATTGAAAAAGATTAACTTTCAATGTTGACAATTGGTGCATCGAATAAACGAGTTGTACTGCCATCTTTTCGATTGACATTTTCCAGCACGTAATGTGAGCCAATTTTATGAAGTCTTTTTGGGCTAACACTACTGGAAAGATACTGTGAGGAAGCACTCCGACCAACTTTTATTGGTGCTGCTGGTGATGACGGATCAGACGGACCTGTCAGATTTGTTAGCAATGCTTTGAAGGGTGCAATTGCTCCATTAACACGCATTAAATTCATTGAAATCTGTAATTCATACAACAAAATAATTCAATTAGCATAAATATTTGTAAAAAAAATTGAAATTTAAAACTTTTATCTGATGTTTGAAAATGATAAATTTTTAAAAAAGAAATTTTAATAATTTTAAACATAATTTAAAACGAATACAATAACTTTCAACAAAAAAAAAGTCACATTAATGGTTATATTTTGAATTTACGGCAAGCAAAAAAAATTATAAAGCTAAAGAATTTCGATTAAACATTATCTTTTTTTAAATTGAATAAATTTGCCACTGGTTAATTGTAACAAATTTCAAATTCAAGAGATCAAAATAGAGATTAACAAACTAATCCATGTTAAATATTTCTTCTGAAACAATCTCTCATTTAGTGAAAAAAAAAAGATGAAAGAAATGATAGCGATAAATGAAATTTTTGAAAAATTAAATTTAGCAATATCTATATCTGAATAATATTATTCGAATCTAATAAAGCATGAAATTCAACTATACTTATACCTGTCCAATATCATTCAAATCTAATAAGAATATCAATACCTGTCCAACATCACTCGAATCTAATGAGGATTGCGGTGACCGCCCTCCAAGCGCTGGTGTACGTACATTACTTTTACCAGTACTAGCTGAACAACCTGAAATTATCTCTCATAATCTCTTTTTTTTTTGTTTTGAAACTCTTAATCAAAATTTGAATGAACTAAAATGATAAGTGTAAGAATGCAAGAAAGTTACATTTATAAATTTGATAAACGATCCTATCATTTTCTTTTCATCAATTTCGTTTACATTTTACATAATTAAATCAATAATTCCAAAAAAAAAAAATCAACAACTAACATAACTAAAAAAACCTTTTAATCCATTGCAATGAATGAAATGAATTATCGGGAGAATGGAATGAATTACCGGGAAAATGGGATGAATTACCAGAAGGATAGAATGAATTACCGGGGGAATTTGTTATCCCACTGCAACCAGATGAAAATGCACAATTTCGTCCCACACTGCTGGAAAATGCCGAACGACGTTTCATTGAAAAGCGTTTCTGCAGAAAATAAATAGAATAATTTTCTCATGAAATTTTTGCATAGAATTTAAAAGTTTCAAATGAATAAATTAATAAATGAATAAAAAGAATCGATTATATCTTGACCGATAATACATTAATAAATGCTATTAATAAAATATTTAATTTTTTCAAATTTCATTAAATTTTTTCTTTTTTTTTTTGCTCTTTCTTATTGCTTACTCTATTTTAACTAAATAAAAAATAACAAATTTTCTCTTTTTATTGTGTGTATGTTTTTTTTTTGTTTTCTTCTTTGAAACTAAGAAGCAAACTATTTTTTTTTTTTGAAGTCAATGAAATGGATTTATTTTCAGATGATAAATAAAATACAATTTTCAAAAAAAAAGATGGCTTTTCTGGTGTTATAATTACCTTTTCTACCAATTTTTCTACTTAATTTTTAAAATGTACAAAATTTGGACTTGAAAAATTTTGCAAAAAAAATTTTCTTTAATGACATTCCATTTAATACATTTCCAAAAATGTAATAATTTTTGAAATTAATAAATTTGAAAGTAAAACTTTTCAAATGAAATTTCATTGTACATCTATCAAACGAATCGAAATTTTTGGCTGATTATCTTTTTTCCATCCTCAACGAGTAAAACTGAAATCTTTGCATAAATGTAATTTTAAAAAAGATTTATATCAATTTATTTTCATTGATATAGAAGTCTCAATTTTTTCATTTGTTCATATGATATTTCAAATACTGTAAAAAAGCATATGCCAAAGCTTTCTGTACAACAAAAAAAAATGAAATTACATTTGTGCAAAAAAAAAAAAACAGATTGAGTTTGCGGAAAAAGAAGATAAAGAACATACCATTTCACACAAAAATTTGGATTTTAATGAATACTTAAATTTGTTGAGAGTACGAAAAAAACCTTGAAAAGATCTACTGAAAATAATCTAAAAAATTTTGTTAAACTTTTAATTTTTAAAGGATTTAAAAATAGAACTGTGAAATTGTTCACCACAATAAAATTTATTTAAAATTTCTTGAATAATGCATAAAGAAATTAGTGGATAATCTAGTTTCCACACATTACTAAGTCTTTTTTAAAAGACAATTTAATAAGACAGATATATATGTTTGGGAAAATTGCCCAACACGGGCCAATTATTGGATATATGTTAAGGAATTACTGTAAGAATTTGAATAATTCACATGAGTTTACAACAATACAAATTAAATTTTCAAATTTTAGAAAGTGGAAAAATTGCAACACCTGGAGTTTTCGTTTCATACGGATTCAAGTAAACAGATGGTTTTGAATCAGCAGAAAACTGGAATGAATTATCTCGTTTGTCTGAATGATCTATGATCTCTTCTAAATTTTTAAAAAAAATTTAAAAGGGATCATAGAAATTTTTAAATGAAGCAAATTCATTGATATTTTACGACTTTATTACAATATTTTACAAAAAAAAGATAAAATAAATGAAAAAGGTAGGAAAATATCGGAGATAAACTATCAGCGCCTTTACTCTTTTATATAATATAAATAATCGTGTCGAATATGAGTCATTAAAACAAAATTGAACAAATCTTTAAATGATGAAAAATTGATGAAAAATGCAAATAAGCCATATGCTTGAAGAGGAAGCATTTGAAGAAGAGGTTTTCAAGGAGGAAGCAAAATAGGAGCGGAAGAAATATTTCAAGAAAATTTCGTGAAAGCTAAATTATTGAAATGGAGCAAAAAAAAATTTAGCATATTTTTTTTTGCTATCTAAAATTGTTTGGGGGAAAAAATTGTCACCTTTTGAAATGGTTGATTAAGCAGTAGTGGAGCGAATTGTAAGTTAAATGATAATTTTCAGTTAGATTTATTTATGGAGATTGTAAATAATTTAGGCTGACTTTTGTAATCGAATTCGTCACTTAAAATAGACCAATGACTATTATTTCATTCTTCAAGTTATTAATGAAACGTTTTTTTTTTCTTCTACTAACAATGACAGCAAAGTGAGACAATATTTTTGGAACTCATTAAATTTAAAAATCACTCATCTCTGTATCATATCATTATCATTACAGAGAAAACAAAAAAAGCAACATAGATTTAACTATATAAATTTTATAGAGAAATAATTGCTTGAAAGGTTTGAGACAGTTAACAAAGGATGAAAAGCACAATTTGTCACGAAGACAAATAGTTTTTTTCTTTTTTTTTTCTTAGTAGCTTTCCGGGAATTTTCTCTAATCTTTCTAAAATTTTCAAAATAAAGACGAAAAACTCTTCATTATCACACATTTACACAGTCAATTTAGCACATTCTCTTCTCTCCACAAATAAAATTTATTTCAATGCAAGCATTAATATTAATGCAAAATTTTTATCAGTTTGAAAAAACGAACGAATTTATCATTATTTTTCATCATTATTTAAATAAAATAATTCAAACCAAAAATGTAAACAAGGAGTTTGATTAAGAATGCAAAAGCAAAAATAAGAAAAAAGTGAGCATTGCAGAGAATAATAATAAAAGTGAAAGGGATGAGAAAATTTAATAAATTTTGATTAAAACATACAAATAATCAGATTAAGGGATAAAATTATACTGAAAGAGCTAAAAATATGTAAGCTATCCATTAATTTTAAAAGATTGGATATGTATAAATTAAAAAATACTCAATCTCTCCTACATAAATGTTAGCATTATTTTTGAAAAACAAGTTAGAAATTCATCTCCACATCTTTCGCATATATTACGTTTGTTTTAATCATTAATAAGATAAAAAATAAAAGAAATTTAATTTTAGAAATAACAGAATTTACCGGATCATTTAAATCAACACATGAATTGCTAAATTCTCCTATGCTATTTTGATTTCGTTCATCAAAACTTTGATGAAATGCGCCTTTTGTTGAAACCCAATGCTGTCGATCATCTTCTGCTGTAGAAATATATGCAAAGGATTGAATAGATTGATAATTAGATAAACGAAAATAATAATTAAATAATTAAAAATAGTTTTCACCTTTTTTTTTTTTAACGTTGCATTTAAATAATTTTAAACTTACAGCATCCATTATTTCGAAATACCGATGATACATTGTCCGGTGCACAGATGTTCAGGCAAGGCTTCGATAACGGATCTAGCATTTCTTCTTTTTTTTTTTTTTTGATGCCCTTGTGGATATTTACCTAAAAATTTAAAATTTATTGTTTTCATATTATGGAGTTGAAATACGACATGATATTTTAAACTTTCAAAATTATTTTTTTGCAAATAATTATCTGCGCTGAGAGGAAATGATAAAATTAAAAAGGGATATTTACAATTAGTAAAAATAGTCATTTTGAATTAAATTGAATAGCTTATTTCAAATGACTGGATAAATAATTTTAGTAATTAGAACTTTCGAATAATAATATGAGCAAAGTAAAAAAAATTTTTAATTGAAAAAAAGTTATATGCATTAAATAAATGTATGATAAAAAGGATGAAAAGTTGTTCATTTATTCTTTCATATAATCTTACATAAACAGGAAATATTGCAAAATGAGAAAGCTGTCATTTTAAAGTAGCTTAAATATACATGAGGGATTAATTTCAAATTATTGAAATCAAACTGAAATATCAAAATGTTTGACACGATATGGCAATTAAAAATAATGCAGTAATGGGAGAGAACGAAGGAGATTTTGCTGCATTTTTTTTTTTTAATTTAATGCAATCAAAAATACTGTAACATAAATTTCAACCTTCACCATAATGTATTTTTCAACTAAATCTATGAGATGAAATATTTCTCTTCGCGTTGTCTCTCTAAAAAAAATATCATATTATTTATAATTTAAATCAATTTTTAAAAATGAATTTAAAATCTGAATCTCAAAAAGTGATTTTTTATTAGCGTATATTTGTGAAAAAATTATGAATTGGCTATTGAGTCGGTATGTTTGTTTCGATTGGATTAGAAAGAAACAGAAGATGAGGAATGATTGAAAATTGAAAAATTTTCTGATGAAATTTTATATTAAAGTTAAAATTAAATATTAGAAGTTTGTGCCACATAAATGATAATATAATTTGGAAGTGACGAGAAGAATTCAGAATTCATCCTCTCTATTTCAATGAAAAATTGAAATCAAAAAAAAAAAGAAGAGACTCGGATCACACTTTCTTTCATCCTTTCTTATGGTTCTCATTCAGCAAACTTTATTGAATTAAACTGCTATTTAAAAGGTTTCACGATCAAATAATTTATTTAATGTTCAAAAAAAAAATGCTACTAAATGTGTACCATATGGTCCGAGGAAACAAAAAAAGAACGCACAAAAAAAAATGATCTCGACAAAAATGAGAAATGCATTGATGACGATCGTAATGATGAGGATGGGTGATATGGGAGGGAATGTAAGTAAGAATTATTGATAAAAACAATGAATATTTCAAAATTTGATTTCAAAAATGAGATCATAGGGGAATGTAAGTAATCAATATTTCAAAAAGCTGAGAAAACGGAAATTGATAAATGACTAATAACGTATAAAGACAGGTGATTTATGAAATAAAACTGAAAAAAAAGTGAATGAGAAAGAAATAAAAGAAAAAAAAAATGTTTGCATATATCTCTCAAATATAAAATTGAAATTGCATGTGAACAAGCAATTTTTGAGGAAAAAAAATGAAAGGATGAGAATTTATTTTTGTTTCACAAAAAAAACCAAAAACATTGTATTTTTAAGAAAAAAATGATAAAATTTTTATTGCCCTTCAAAGTTAACTTCCTTATTGACAGTTATCAAAATGAATTTAATATAGAAAATTAGAAAAACGGAATTCATCAAAGTAATTCTTCTTTTTTTTGTTGTCATTTCAGACTTAAGATGACAACAAAAAAAAGGGAATAATTACTTTTTTTTCTTTGTTTTTTCCAAAATTTCATAGCAAAAAATAATTAATTTACGGAATTTTATGTAAATTTTTGATCAATTGCATTGAAAAA